AGAATATATACCCTGGGATAACTTGTTGTGGGGTTTGTTCCTGGGGAGGCTCAATAATTCGACCTTAGGGGAGACCTTGATATAAGCCTAAAATTTATATATACACTGGCCGTCTGTCCCCAGACACAATGAATTATAATTATGGCTTTAGTATTGATGCCCTCGACCATACTCTGGGGTATTGATGCCCTCGACCATACTCTGGGGTATTGATGCCCTCGACCATACTCTGGGGTATTGATGCCCCCGACCATACTCTGGGGTATTGATGCCCTCAACCATACTCTGGGGTATTGATTCCCTCGACCATACTCTGGGGTATTGATTCCCTCGACCATACTCTGGAGTATTGATGCCCTCGACCATACTCTGGGGTATTGATGCCCCCGACCATACTCTGGGGTATTGATGCCCTCGACCATACTCTGGGGTATTGATTCCCTCGACCATACTCTGGGGTATTGATTCCCTCGACCATACTCTGGGGTATTGATTCCCTCGACCATACTCTGGGGTATTGATGCCCCCGACCATACTCTGAGGTATTGATGCCCTCGACCATACTCTGGGGTATTGATTCCCTCGACCATACTCTGGAGTATTGATGCCCTCGACCATACTCTGGAGTATTGATGCCCTCGACCATTCTCTGGAGTATTGATGCCCTCGACCATACTCTGGAGTATTGATGCCCTTCGACCATACTCTGGGGGTATTGATCCCCTCGGCCATACTCTGGGGGTATTGATGCCCCCGATCAGACTCTGGAGTATTGATGCCTTCGACCATACTCTGGGGTATTGATTCCCTCGACCATACTCTGGAGTATTGATGCCCTCGACCATACTCTGGAGTATTGATGCCCTCGACCATACTCTGGAGTATTGATGCCCTCGACCATACTCTGGAGTATTGATGCCCTCGACCATACTCTGGAGTATTGATGCCCCCGACCATACTCTGGGGGTATTGATGCCCTCGACCATACTTTGGGGTATTGATGCCCCGACCATACTCTGGGGTATTGATGCCCCCAACCATACTCTGGGGTATTGATGCCCTCGACCATACTCTGGGGTATTGATGCCCTCGACCATACTCTGCGGTATTGATGCCCTCGACCATACTCTGGGGTATTGATGCCCTCGACCATACTCTGGGGGTATTGATGCCCTCGACCATACTCTGGGGTATTGATGCCCTCGACCATACTCTGGGGTATTGATGCCCTCGACCATACTCTGGGGTATTGATGCCCTCGACCATACTCTTGGGTATTGATGCTCTCGACCATACTCTGGGGTATTGATGCTCTCGACCATACTCTGGGGTATTGATGCCCTCGACCATACTCTGGAGTATTGATGCCCTCGACCATACTCTGGGGGTATTGATGCCCCCGACCATACTCTGGGGGTATTGATGCCCTCGACCATACTCTGGAGTATTGATGCCCTCGACCATACTCTGGGGTATTGATGCCCCCGACCATACTCTGGGGTATTGATGCCCCCGATCATACTCTGGGGTATTGATGCTCTCGACCATACTCTGGGGTATTGATGCTCTCGACCATACTCTGTTGTATTGATGCCCCCGACCATACTCTGGAGTATTGATGCCCTCGACCATACTCTGGGGTATTGATGACCCCGACCATACTCTGGGGTATTGATGCCCCCGACCATACTCTGGAGTATTGATGCCCTCGACCATACTCTGGGGTATTGATGACCCCGACCATACTCTGGGGTATTGATGCCCCCGACCATACTCTGGAGTATTGATGCTCTCGACCATACTCTGGGGTATTGATGCCCTCGACCATACTCTGGGGTTGAGGAGCGTCTACAGCGTCTGACATAAATATGTTGTATTCTGTTAACTTAATTAAATCATTAATGCTATTGTGTTTAATTCGAGATAATTGCTTATTATTTCAGATACGGATGAATGAACTTTTAATTGGCATTATCCAAATTACCGAACCACTCGTTTGTTAAGTAATAGTTTAAACTCTCTTTATAGAGAAAATGGCGTCAAATGTGCTTTGGGGCAATTTATCAGTCCTATTATAATTTAAAATATCTAAACCCTGAAATTAAGTATATAAAAATCGTCCTTTAATTAGCAATTATTTAAACTGGAGAGGAATGTCGAAGTTTTACAAATTGGAGAGCAATTAGTTTTTAAAAGTAAAGAGACTTTTGCTTTAATGGAAGTAATTTAACTTCACGTAACTATGACTGCTGGTTTGAATTAAGAGGCACTCCGAATATTGGGTCAGTGTTCTTATATGATAACATGTGCTTATGTTTGAGTGTGTGTGAGTGTGTGAGAGTGTGGGAGATTACTACCTCCTTTATCCATTATTCCACCACAGCCTCTTTTAATGGGAAATTTTCAGAATCTTAGTCGGAAGTTAAACTGTCTTGTTGGTAAATAAATAACTGACCACTACAGCTCCGGCCTCACTTTTTGCAAGGTCGGCGTTCGGTTCACCCCGTCCTCATATCCAAGCTCCTTGTCCTCATGTCCAATCTGAGGAAGCTGGATACATTATCGGATATGGTGTAAGGTGATATTCTCAGGTCATATTCTCAGAAGATATTCTTATAAGAATTCCCGTATAAAGCAAAGTTAACGTAATACATATTTTAAGTAATCTAACTTAATTTATATACATGCAATAATTAATATGTGAAATAAAATACTAAGTAATCCAACATAGCTGTATGGAAGGTAATATAATACAGTATTGTATCATGATGGATTTTTATTAATTGTAAAATAAAATTCCATCAAGGCTGAACAATGAGACGCACGCCCTTGTGACACAATCATTACAAACTCAACTTAAAGATGTAACATATTTATCAATCACTGTCTTACTATGTGTCTACATAAGAGGTAAACAAATATATTATAATCCGCTGAATTATACCTGTTTCAGGTAAACAGGTCTATCCGTACACAAGTTTTTCGCACATTGATCGTTTCTATTTGTTAAAACAACGTATATAGTTATATCTGGTTCAGTTAGGTTAGATTCGGATAGGTTTTGTTAATTTAGGTTTGTTCATGTTAGGTATTGAAGGTTTTAACCTTCGAAGTGACGTGCATCCTGCGGGATTAATAAATAATCCATAGTGTTATCCGTGTTAAATTATCTGCTATCATTATCCAGTTCAGTGTACAATTTTCTGGAGACAAGCTGCACCAAATTATTAACTAGAGTGATCTATACAAATTGCAACAGATTCTATACAATCTGTGACGCAAAACGGCATCCCTGCTGCTAAGCAGCAAATGAATCAACGACAGGTAACATGTCGTAGCACAGCAGACACAGCAGACACAGCAGACACAGCAGACACAGCAGTACAGCAGACACAGCAGTACAGCAGACACAGCAGACACAGCAGACACAGCAGTACAGCAGTACAGCAGACACAGCAAACACAGCAAACACAGCAGACACAGCAGACACAGCAGACACAGCAGACACAGCAGTACAGCAGACACAGCAAACACAGCAGACACAGCAGACACAGCAGACACAGAGGGAGCGAGCTGGGTAATAGACCTGCAGGGGACTCAGGTAACGTCCAGTAAGCAAGAATTAACCAGGGGTCACTTCCAATAAAGAACTGACAAGATAGGACCAATTCTGGTGAAATGAGTAGCTTTAAAATAAAATGAAGTCGATTTTGCCTGAGTTTAATCTGAGTAAATCAAGAGTTGTGTAAAATAATCTGGGCTAGTTACTGAGTTTAGGGCTGGCTGGTGTGGGAGGGGAAGATGATGACATTGTAGCCAAAATGTTTAGATAACATTTCACTGACCTAGTCTGTGACCTAATATATATAGATATATCTATATATATATATATATATATATATATATATATATATATATATATATATATATATATATATATATATAGTCTAATATATATAGTCTATCATACCACTGCACTTGTGATTGATAACTTATCATACGACGACACTAATGATGGATGGATTTTCATACTTCTGCTCTTACGAAGTATGTTATATCATACCACTGGGGGCTTACGATGATTGACCTATCATACCCTTGCACTTGCGACGTAATAGCCTATCCACAATACTTTAGTAGTATACCTTGTCATAACTAGAGGGATGAAGGTCACAGGACTAGTGCAAGGTAAAGAGGATGATAGAAAATATAATAAAAATAATACTATGATGATGCTGGAAGAGGGAATTTTTTAAGTTTAACATATTAAAAAAAGTGGAGTGGGAAAACTAGACAAGACTCAAAAATGGATAAAGATGAGCATTTGCAAGAAAAAATAACATCAGAATTAATTAAAGGAAAATAATAAAAACTGAGGAATTGCGCAAGAGGGGAGACACAGATGCATAAGAGGGTGACAGTTAGCGAGGGGCATAGATCCTCGATAATGAGAGAGGCAGCGGGGAAAGGAGACAGATGTCTGTGCTCCAATTTAACGTATGGCTCAAGACAAAGAGGAATATGTTTTTATTAAAGCCATGACCCAACACAGAGATGTCTGTGCCTAAATTAAAGCCATGACCCAACTCAGAAATGTCTGTACCTACATTAAAGCCATGACCCAACACAGAGATGTCTGTACCTCCATTAAAGCCATGACCCAACACACAGATGTCTGTGCCTCCATTAAAGCCATGACCCAACACAGAGATGTCTGTGCCTCCATTAAACCCATGACCCAACACACAGATGTCTGTACCTCCATTAAACCCATGACCCAACACACAGATGTCTGTGCCTCCATTAAACCCATGACCCAACACAGAGATGTCTGTGCCTCCATTAAACTCATGACCCAACACAGATATCTGTACCTCCAATAAACCCATGACCCAACACAGAGATGTCTGTGCCTCCATTAAACCCATGACCCAACACAGATATCTGTACCTCCAATAAACCCATGACCCAACACAGATGTCCGTACCTCCATTAAAGCCATGACCCAACACAGAGATGTCTGTACCTCCATTAAAGCCATGACCCAACACAGAGATGTCTGTACCTCCATTAAAGCATGGAGACACCCGGCCCAGCCTCCACCATCCCCTTCAGCTATTATGGCCAATATTCTCCTACATTATTGGAACATTGGCGTTATTGGCACAGCCCCCGCGCGCCAGACCCTTCCCTTAACCCGACAATTAGTTCTAACTTGCAAGTTTACTTTGCAGCCCAAAAATCTCTATGTTGATATTAAATATTTGAAGTACGAATGTTTATAGAGGGGGAGCTCCGGAAGGTATTAATAAATAAAATATTCTTAAAGAAGGTAAACACTAATCTATATATGTATTTATATATATATATATATATATATATATATATATATATATATATATATATATATATATATATATATATATATGTGTGTGTGTGTGTGTGTGTGTGTGTGTGTACTCACCTATATGTACTCACCTATATGTGCTTGCAGGATCGAGCATTGACTCTTGGATCCCGCCTTTCTAGCTATCGGTTGTTTACAGCAATGACTCCTGTCCCATTTCCCTATCATACCTAATTTTAAAAGTATGAATAGTATTTGCTTCCACAACCTGTTCCCCAAGTGCATTCCATTTTTCTACTACTCTCACGCTAAAAGAAAACTTCCTAACATCTCTGTGACTCATCTGAGTTTCCAGTTTCCACCCATGTCCCCTCGTTCTGTTATTATTACGTGTGAACATTTCATCTATTTCCACTTTGTCAATTCCCCTGAGTATTTTATATGTCCCTATCATATCTCCTCTCTCCCTTCTTTTCTCTAGTGTCGTAAGGTTCAGTTCCTTCAGCCGCTCTTCATATCCCATCCCTCGTAGCTCTGGGACAAGTCTCGTCGCAAACCTCTGAACCTTCTCCAGTTTCTTTATGTGTTTCTTCAGGTGGGGGCTCCATGATGGCGCGGCATACTCTAAGACGGGTCTCACGTAGGCAGTGTAAAGCGCCCTAAAAGCTTCCTCATTTAGGTTTCTGAATGAAGTTCTAATTTTCGCCAGTGTAGAGTACGCTGCTGTCGTTATCCTATTTATATGTGCCTCAGGAGTTAGATTAGGTGTCACATCCACTCCCAGGTCTCTTTCTCGAATCGTTACAGGTAGGCTGTTCCCCTTCATTGTGTACTGTCCCTTTGGTCTCCTGTCACCTGATCCCATTTCCATAACTTTACATTTACTGGTGTTAAACTCCAGTAGCCATTTCCCTGACCATCTCTGCAGCCTGTTTAAGTCCTCTTGGAGGATCCTACAATCCTCGTCTGTCACAACTCTTCTCATTAATTTTGCGTCATCTGCAAACATTGACATGTATGATTCCACTCCTGTAAACATATCATTTACGTAAATTAGAAAGAGGATTGGTCCCAGCACCGATCCTTGAGGTACTCCACTTGTTACTGTTCGCCAGTCCGACTTTTCGCCTCTTACCATTACCCTCTGGCTCCTTCCTGTTAGGTAGTTCTTCACCCATACTAGGGCCTTTCCGCTTACTCCTGCCTGCCTCTCAAGTTTGTATAGCAGTCTCATGTGCGGTACCGTATCAAAGGCCTTTTGGCAGTCAAGAAATATGCAGTCTGCCCAGCCTTCTCTGTCCTGCCTTATCCTTGTTACTTTATCATAGAATTCTAAAAGGTTTGTTAGGCATGATTTCCCTGTCCAGAACCCATGTTGGTGCTTGTTTACAAACCCAATGCTCTCCAGGTGCTCAACAAGTCTTAGCCTAATTATTCTTTCAAGTATTTTGCAGGGGATGCTTGTCAGTGATACGGGTCTGTAGTTAAGTGCCTCCTCCCTATCACCCTTTTTGAAAATCGGTACATTTGCCTCCTTCCAGCAACTGGGCAATCAACTGCCTTCCTCTCAACTGCCAACTGGTGTACAGATTCCTGAGCCTACTGGGCTCTATCATATCTACATTTAAAACTGTGTATGGAGTCAGCCTCCACCACATCACTGCCTAATGCATTCCATCTGTTAACTACTCTGACACTGAAAAAGTTCTTTCTAACGTCACTTTGGCTCATGTGGGTACTCAGTTTCCACCTGTGTCCCTTTGTTCGCGTACCACCAGTGTTGAATAGTTTATCCTTGTCTACCCGGTCGATTCCCCAAAGGATTTTGTAGGTAGTGATCATGTCTCCCCTTACTCTTCTGTCTTCCAGTGTCGTAAGGTGTATTTCCCGCAGCTTTTTCTCGTAACTCATGCCTCTTAGTTCTGGGACTAGTCTAGTGGCATATCTTTGAACTTTTTCCAGCTTCGTCTTGTGCTTGACAAGGTACGGGCTCCATGCTGGGACCGCATACTCCAGGATTGGTCTTACATATGTGGGATAGATGAAATTATTTATGTAATAATCTAAGATGAGGTCTAATAAAGACCTTTTGTGCCCTCTGTAAGCTTTTGCGCTACCGCTCACAGGATGAGTATGGGGTGCACAATAAACTAGCCGCCTTCGGCGGCAACAATCAAAATATGGTATACAAGATTTTGAACGATTCCTTACACAGGTTCCTGAAGGCTGTTCTGATGTTAGCCAGCCTCGCATACGCCGCAGACGTAATTCTTTTTATGTGGGCTTCAGGAGACAGGTTTGGTGTGATATCAACTCCTAGATCTTTCTCTCTGTCCGTTTCATCTGTGTGTGTTTGTGTGTGTGTGTGTGTGTGTGTGTGTGTGTATGTGTGTGTGTGTGTGTGTGTGCGCGTGCGTGCGTGTGTGTGTGTGCGCGCGTACGATTTTGCTTGTGTGAATATATATGTATGCTTGTGTGTGGTTCCTGGTGTGTTTTCTTTGTATGCGGGTTCTCATTGTGTATGCCTTTGTGTAATATTTTATTTACTAGAGTAAACAAGTCGAATACAATGAATTGATCTGAGCGATTGAACTAGTGTCTCTCCTCGGCCCTTGTGTCTCCCCTCGGCCCGGCTTGTTTCTCCCCTCAGCCCGGCTTGTGTCTCCCCTCGGCCCGGCTTGTGTCTCCCCTCGGCCCGGCTTGTGTCTCCCCTCGGCCCGGCTTGTGTCTCCCCTCGGCCCGGCTTGTGTCTCCCCTCGGCCCGGCTTGTGTCTCCCCTCGGCCCGGCTTGTGTCTCCCCTCGGCCCGGCTTGTGTCTCCCCTCGGACCTTATGTCTCCCTTAGAACAAATTTTTCCCTCCCGGGCTGGGCTTTACTCGTTGACAAAGGTGTCATCATTAACGCATTAATAAATGCGCTCGTTAATTGGAAGGTTGTTCGGTTATTTGATCCTTATATTACCGCTCAGTTCTGGCGTCTGTGTCGGTCATTACGGCACACATGTGTCTGTATGGGTGGTTGGTGGCTCTGCTTTGTGTCAGATATTTCTGCTGTTTGATTCAGATATTGTCTGCTGTTTGGGTCAGATATTGTCTGCTGTTTATGCAAGTCATGTTCTCTTATTATCTGAAAATGTATTTTTTGTTTTTAAGCTTGTATCTATGTACACACACACACACACACACACACACACACACACACACACACACACACACACACACACACACACACACACACACACACACACATATTGTGAGTGTGTGTATATATATATATATATATATATATATATATATATATATATATATATATATATATATATATATATATATATATATATTGCTAACGACCATGTCGTAGGTAATAACAATTCATTCACCAGGACAATCGGCGTCTGGAACCTCTGAGCCACACAGGCGTTAGAACTGGCAACTTTTATACTAAAAGGAAGCAATTCACTCCTCCTAGATCTCAGCTCTTCGTTACGATACTTATTTGATCTCGGACAAAACTCTCGACATTCCCTGGAAATTAATATTCCCAAGACGCTCACGCCTCTCAGTGGTCGCGGGATCTTAACACTCCCGGATCCTAATATTGTCATGATCTCATCTTTATATGGCTCTCTGCTTTCTCTTATCAGGAAATCCTGGGTCTCAATTATGCTTAATTTATAACACGTTTTCATTTCATAGTAAGTTTCAACCCCTCTCTTAGTCCCTATACTTATACCAGGTCAACACTTGGTCTATAAGGCTCTTGTGAGGTGAGTATCCTGGCCTTTCCTGAGTTCCATTAGTCCCTTTTTCTCTAAATTCTCCTAGATCTCAAAACTGCTGTTTGGGTTCTAACATTTCTTAATCTCATTAATCATTTCATTCCCAGCATTTTCAAGACCCAACAAGCCTTTGGATCCCACTTTTCTGGGACTCGATAATTTTCCATATTTAACATGTATCGGGTCCCAACACCTATAGGAGCTACAGGACTTCATCATTCCGAGGCTGACACCTGTCATGTCAGAGTGGCGAAGAATGAATGTTCTAAGAATTGAAAATGTTCTAGGATCATACCTTAAGGTGATTGCTACCGGGAAGTACATATGCACATATGCTGCGTCCTACCTTGTTAACTTGGGCTCAACATCCCCGCGGCCCGGTCCTCGACCAGGTTGCCAGGCCTCCTCTTCGCATGATTTTGGGTCTCAGCATTAGACGTAATGTCTAGCGTCGAGCAGGGTCACACAGTCCGTCCGAAGAAGTCCCACTGAACCTAGGTGCTAATTTCCCAGCACCCTGAGATTTCAGCTTGGGGTCCTTGGGCCAGATTCACGAACCAGTTACGCAAGTACTTACGAATGTGTACATCTTTTCTCAATATTTGGCGACTTTGTTTACAATTATTAAACAGTTAATGAGCTGCGAAGCACCAGGAGGCTGTTTATAACAATAACAACAGTTGATTAGGAAGTTTTCATGCTTGTAAAGTGTTTAATAAATGTAACCAAAGCCGTCAAAGATTCAGGAAAGATGTACACGTTCGTAAGTACTTGCGTAACTACTTCGTGAATCTGGGCCCTTGTTCCCCAACCCCGAAGCCCCACAGATCACAAAGAACCGACAAAGGGTCGTGGTCAGAGCCCTGACGTCCCCTTTTACCTCTTGCCATTTTAAAGTTTTTCTAATTAACGATTATGCTGCGTCGACAGATTTTTGACGGGATTTAATCAGGGTAGTCAGTCAGGTGTTGACAAACATGGATGCATGAGAGACTGCGTTCATGTGAAATTTAGGCGTAAACACGGCTGATCAATCACCCACGTCTTAGAATATAACGTTTCTAGTTTACACAACAAAAGTTATACGTTTCGGAAGAACAGTTAACTCACTCAAACATTATGGTAATGTCCAGGACATTCCTCA